CAAGAGCAGTCAATGCTCTTAACCACTGAGCTATCTCTCCAACCTTGGGAATAATCTTTTTGATGTTTCTTGCTTATGGTACAGATGTATATTTCTAACATCGTTATTATCTTAATAAATCAAGCTCTACTAAAAATATCTCAGAAAGGGAGGAAATATTATTGTGTGAAATATCTAATATTTAGTATTTTATATTTTGTGCCATGTGTTAAAACTTGAATTATATTAGTTACTGCATGTTTTATTTTGTTAGCATTTAACTGTCTTAAATGGGCTTCCTAAATAAGGGATCTTTGGGGAAATTTATCATAATATTATTGAAAACTCATTGAATTAGTTATAAGAAATTTCAGAAGACTGTCCTTCTTGGTCTTGGTTAACCCATTATTTAGGATTTTAGTTCATAAAATAATAATTGATTCTTTAACTTATTTGTAGTTCTGCAATATTTTACCTCAATATATATAAATATTAATTATAAATATGGTATATATTCATAATATAAATATGAGGCATATATATACATATACATGAACACATATATGTACACACATATCCAGAGATACAAAGAAGGACAGAGAAGGCAGGGTGAGAAAGACAAAGAACAAGAGCATGTTAGTTCAAAGTACAGCAATTACTAACACCATCAGGCTCCCTTACAGATATGTATAGCCAGTGTCAAAACTGTGGAGCATCTACTATTATAACCTACTTGCCAGCTTGTAGCAGTTATGAGAGGTGGGCAAGCTGAAAAGGAAGGGGAAACAGTATAGTAAAATCTTCAAAACACCTACTCCTAAAGTAGGGAATAGGCTTCAGCTTATAAGCACAAGCAAGAACATTTTGAATAAGATTCTGGTAGCACAGGAAATAGGACTAATAATCAACTGAAATGTTTGTGTACAGAAAAGGATACTGCCAATCGAGTGAAGAAGCAGACCACAGCACAGGAGAAAAACTCTGGCAGCTTTACACCAGTCAGAGGATTAGTACTTAGAATATACAAAGATCTAAGAAACCTAAACATCAAGAAAACGAACCACCCAATTGAAAAGTATGCTATGAAACCTGAACAGAAAGTTTTCAAAAGAGGAAATACAAATGGTTAGGAACCACTTCAAAGTTTTCCACCATCCTTAGTTATCAGGGAAATGTAGAATAAAACTAGTTTCAGATTCCTTCTCACCCTGGACAGAACGGCCATAATCAAGTATACAAATGACAACAAATGCTGGCATGGGTGTGGTACAAAGGGAATCTTCATGTACTGTTGATGGGATGCAAACTACTGCAGCCACTTCAGAAATCAGTCTGGAGGTTTCTAAAATAATTAGAAACAGAACTACCATATGACCCAGCTATACCACTTCTGGGCATATACCCAAAGGACTTAATATCTTACTGCAGGGATACTTGCACTTCCATGTTCACTGCTGCTGTAATTGCAATAAAAAGGAAATGTAATCAGCCTAGATGTGCAGCCTATATGGATAAGGAAATGTGGCACACATCATAGTGGAATTTTATTCAGCTATAAAGAAAAACTAAGTTATGAAAGTTTCAGGTTAAATAAATGGAACTGGAAATAATCATACTGAGGTTACTGAGGCCCAAAAAGACAAACATCTTTTCTCTCACATGTGGCTCTTAGCTTTGAATTTTTTCCTTTGTGTGTACAACTCAGAAGACATGTGGAAGCCAGGAAACTAGAAAGGGACCACGGGGAAGGATTCTTTAAGGGAAAGACAAATACAAGAGCATAGGTTACAAAAAAAAAAAAAAAAAAAAAAAAAAATAATTCAGCACCTCTTTTGTCACATATGACACTTATGTCCTACTATACACCTTGCTACAGGCCTTTCTTCTCTTC